GGGGAGGGGGCTGCAAACTCACCTTATTGACGACCTTCTGCTGCTGCGTGTGCTTCTGACGCAAAGTGACCACCTCTCGCCACAGGGCCTCGTTCTCGCTGCAAGGAGAGGGGCGACCAGGCCATCAGGAGACCCAGCCTCCTGGGCCACCCCACCCCCAGGGAGGGCCTCCCGCAGACAGGCCCCGGCTCCCAGCAGCGGCAGCCCAACCACCGGGGTCCTCCTTCCCACGCCTCTCCAGGGGCTTCTGGCCTGGCCGCCTGGACCCTAGACCCCCCCCCCCCCCCCGGGGAGGCTATAGGCAGTCCCTGTTTAGTGACCACAACTGGGACCTGCAACTCAGCCATTAAGCATAGCGGTCGCTAAGGGAAACCATGACTGTGCTTAAGACCTTACTTTGGCTTTCCTTCGCTTGACAGACCTGCACAGGCCCCAACTAGGAGGGCAGGTTGCAAAATTACTTCCTTCTTCACCGTCCTAAGTGCAAACAGCCACCAAATGAGGACTTCCTATAATGCCAGCTCTGTCTGTCGATATGCAGGCCTGGGGTGGGGAGAGCCGCCGTCCCGTCCCGGCCTCCAGGCTCAGCAGCCCCAGGACCTCAGAAGGACAGAGTGGGGAGGGACCCCGAAGGTCTTCTAGTCCAGCCGCCCCCAAGTCTTTTGGGCACCGGGGACCAGTTCCGTGCAGAGGGATTTTTCCACGGATCGGAGGGGCCCCGTTTCCTGGGCTGCTTGCCTGCCGCCTGTGGGGCTCCCCGTGCTGGCAACGCTGCAGCCTTCCGCTGGTCTAGGGCCCAGGGATTGGGGCCCCCTTTTCTAGCCCAACCGCCTACCCAAGCAGGAGGCCCCAGGCCATTTCGGGGGGCCCGTCTCTTCTTAAAAACCTCCAGGGTTGCAGTACCCATTCTCCACACCCTGCAGTGCCTTTTAGGATCTACCAACGTTACCTATTGTTTTTTATCATTTTATTACAAAAATAATTAAACATACAATCGCAGCCAAAGCTCTCTGGGCAGTTTACAATAAAATGTACTTGGGCCCGAAATGTGTTAAGGCCTCGGCTTTACTGTTGATTTATCATCACGGTTGATGTTGAATTTATTGTTTTTATTATTTTGACGTTTTCTAAATTGTTTTATAATTTTAGACTTGTAAGCTGAGCCACTTGGTTGAGTTGGGCGGCTATAGGAATGGAATAAATCAATAAAATATTTTGAATGCTTGCCACGCAGAAGGAACGAAATGCTCTATGGACCTAACTTCGGTTAAGTAAAAATGGCAGATTCAACTCTTGTGAAGAACCCAGGCGGAACAGAAACCTTCACTACTCTTTCTGAATTGTGTTCACACAACGCCTCCATTCCCAAATTGCTGGGACGCAGGCGGCTTTGTGTTGACTTGCAAGGAGGCTCAAGGTTAAGCTGGCCTTGGGTTACACGCCCGGCATCCTGCCCAACAGGCAGCGGAACCGATACGAAAAAGGAAAGGAAAATCTTGCCCAATACACTTCATCCTCAGTCCATGCAATATGAATAGAGAAAAAAGGGGAAAAAATAGAACAAAAAGAAGAATGAAAAGTTAATAGGAAAACAGGACAAAATGCAGAATGATTTTAAAGAAAATCACGTTCTGGAGAGGCGAAGAAGGCAAAACAAAAGTGAATAAAATTCAAAGTAAGTGATGAAATGACCTGAAGTGGAACTGAACTGAGAGAACGGGGGACGGAGGACTGTATGCGGAAAAGAGGAAACGACAGTGGCAGATGCTATGGTTGAAAGGGTAGAAGAGAGAGGCTGGTGGGATGTTATGCTGGCCAACGGCCTGGACAGACTGGCTCTTTAGCCAGTCATAATGAATGCCCCCACAGGATCAAGTTTAACTTGTGTTAATTGTGTTCTTGCCGGCTTTTGTTGATCCTGGTGGCTGAGCTTGTGTGTGTGTATGTGTGTATAACACACACACACACACACACACACACACACGGATTTTAATTGTTGCTAGCCACCCAGAGTTTTGAATCTGAGACAAGTGGTCAATCTAAATTAAACCAAGAAAGCAACACCTGTCGGTGCTCCCAGCAGCCCCTGCTGCCCCTGGAGAGGGAAGCTTCTCCTGGCATTTGGAAGCCCTGCCCCTCAAACCGAAACTCAAGAGGCCTCCGGGGACCGTCTTCAAAGTCTTCCAGGGGAAGGCCAGTCCTTCTGGCTCAACCTGGCAAGCCCCCCTTTTGCATTTCTAAGGAAAGGGACTGCTCTGCCTCCAGTCCAAGGCACTGGAGGTCCTGCGGGGGCTCAAGTGGGAAGCTTCTGTGTGGGGGAAACGAAGCCTCTCTTGGCTCCATTCGGACAAGAGGAGCTAAGGAGGGGGAGCCGCCCCCCATTTGGCCATCAGCGAAGCTCCCTGGAAGGGCTTCGGTGGAAAGGAAGGCAGGGAAAGATCCATCCTGGGAGGCCCTGCTGGGCCCCTTCCCCCCACCCATGGAAAGATCAAATGGCACTGGGGGGGGGGACCCCGGGGGGGGGGGGGGGCGGCTGATCAAAGGCGCAGAGGGAGCCAGCCAGCAGCTTAATCAGGAGGCTGCTGGCAGATTGGCAGGGGAGGGGCTGTACTGAGAGAGGCCGGGCGGGGTGACACCTGCCTGCAGGGGCCCAGACAGGTGGACGCACCTGTGCGCTTGTCCAAGCCGGCCCTCTTCCCCAGAAGGCCAGGCACCTCCCCCTGAAGGGGCCTAGCCCTCCCACCCCAAAACCGAGCCAGCATCTGCTCGGCTGGCAGCCCCTCCAGGCCGCTGAGAAGGAAATGAGGGGTGATGGGATTCGGGGCTCAATCTGGGAGACGGGGAAGAGCCGCCACCTTCCCCGAGAGGGGAACTGAGCGGGGGGAGGGGGGTCTCAGGGGGACAGAAACAGCATAAAGCTCCCCACGAAAAGAAGTCTTAAACGTTTGGGGGGGGGGGCAATCCTTGATTTAATTATTTAAAGGTCTCCTTTTTATTTAAAAGGCACAGAGCTCTTGAGCAGAACTTTCAGAGGAGTTTCCCAAGGCCTACAAAAGATAAACTGTCTTCCTTATACCTATTTTTAAAAAAGGGGGGGAGGGGAACCTTGGAGAAATGGAAGCCCCTTTGCCCAGGAGGTCCAAGAAGGAGCAGATGCGCCCCCCCCCCACCCCACGCAGAGCACCTGCAAGAGGTTCCTTCTGTGGGGAGGGAAGCCGCTCTGACCTTCCGCAACCCCAGAAAGACGGCCAGGCGGGGAGGGGGGCAGGTCTGCCTTCTGGGGAGGCGGGCACCAAACGGCAAGGGCCACACGGGGAGGAGGCAGGCACCAGTGCCCAGCCCTGGCTGTGCCCGTCCTCAGAATCGCTCCTAAGTTTCCTCGGACCCCGGTCCTTCTCTGCTCAGGCCCCGCTTTCCACCCCCACCCCCAGCCACGTCTTCAGGAAGTGGCCTCACCTGAGCACAGCCGTAGTCAGGCAAAGCCCTTTGCATCACTTTCTCGTGAACCCACAACCTACGACACAGCCTCTTTCTCACGTGGGTGCTTTCTCCCGGAGCTGACCGAGAGCAAAGTCCAGCCTGCCAGGTAGGTCAGTGCCCAGACAACACCAATGCCTCCCTTCCCAACGTTTATGGGGACCCCTTGCACCCTTTCCGTCAACCGCAGCCCAGGGGGGCTCCGCTCTCTCCCTTTGCCTCTTGCTTCTTTCTTCCCATGTCCAACGCTTCCCCCCCAATGTTCATTTCGGACACTGCCAAAAACAACATTTCACACTCTCAGACTCTCTTATCGTTCTTGTATGCTTCGCTCATTCTTTCATAACTAGATTGGCCATGCTTTCTTATGGACTCCTTTTCCGGGAGCCAGACGGACCACTGAACTGAGATGATGTCCAACTTCCAGGTAGGATAGAAGCTGCCCTCCAAAACCAGCTCAGGGGACAGAGAGCAAAACCACAGCAGGAGGAGGAGGAGGAGGAGACAGATGAATGCTGAGCCACCTAGACAAGAACAAGGAACAGCCACCCCAGAAACAGCCGGGGGGGGGGGCGGGGGGGGGCTGCATAAGATGACCCCCCTCTGCAGCTTTGCAGGTATTTTGTCAACTCTTCTCTGCTTGATGGGAACACAGGAGGGATGCAGCACACCTGAGTATTGCCATGGGATGGCAACGGGGGGCAGGGCTGCCCTGTGGAGGGTGGGGTGTCGTAACGGGTTTCTTTTATCTCAAGATCAGGTGAGGCACTACTGCCACTCTAGAAAGCCACACCTAGAATACAGCATTCAGTTTTGGTCACCACACTATAAAAAACAATGTGGAGACTCTAGAAAAAGTGCAGAGAAGAGCAACCAGGATGATGAGGGGACTGGAGGCTGAAACATACGATGGACGGTTGCAGGAATTGGGCCTGGCTCAGCTAGGGAAGAGAAGGACCAGGGGAGGCAGGAGAGCAGCCTTCCAAGATTTGAGGGAGGGGCTGCCCCAGAGAGGAGTCAAGCTATTCTCCCAGGCCAGACAAGGAGTAATAATGGATGGATGCTGATCAAGGAGAGATTCAACCTGGAAATAAGAAGGAATTTCCTGATAGTGAGAACAACCAACCCATGGAACAGAAGTGGGAGCTTCATCCCTGGAGGCTTCCAAGAAGAGACTGGACTGCCATTTGTCAGAAATGATGTAGGGTCTCCTGCTTGGGCAGGGGGTTGGACTAGATGACCTTCAAGGTCCCTTCCTACTCTGTTCGTCTGTATATCTGCTGCTGCCTGGGGAAGGACAGCGATGCACCAGGAGTCCTGGCCAAAGGGCTTCAACATCCCACCAGGCCCAGAGGAATACACAACAGGCCCTTCCACACACACACACACACACAAGCAGGATGCCACAAGTCGGATGGTGTTTCTCCGCTCTAAACACAAGGTGACGACTTCCAGGTGGCCTTCAGATTGGCAGAGAAGTAGACTTGGATGCCCCCTCAGGGGAGGCGGTGTAATGGGACGTGGGGTCGCCCTGGGAGACAGCGGGAAGAGCTGCAGCCAGGGCGGTGGCCGGAGAAGAGGCGGCTGAGCCCAGAGGAAGAACCTGGGCGTGGGGAAAGCCTCAGAAGGGACCCTGCCTGGTCTCCTCAGCTGCAAAGGTGGGGATTGAGGGAGAGAGGTCTGTCCAGGCTTGCAAGATGCCGTTCCTACAACTTGACAAGCAAGCCGAACGGATTCCCCTGGGCGGGCGGCTCCCTCCTCCTTTCCCAGGACAGGACCCAGGAGAAGGGAGGCTGCACCTTGCCAGGGGACGGCCTAACTGGCAGCCCCCTCCTCCGCGGGGGCTCTGAGCACCGAGGACACTGAGACTTCCGGCCAGGATCCGCCCTTCTGGCTCTCTGCATCCAAGGGGCCACAGGTGGCGAAGAGGACGACCCAGGAGTCACCACTAGGCTTCACTGGGTCTCCCACGCGCAAAGCACTCCCTACGAGCGGGACAGGGGCCAAAGGCACTAGCGCTGTCTCATTTGGCAGCGGAAAACAGCAACACCCCCCCCCCCCCCCAATTAACAAGCAAGTCTACTGTGGCATTTCCAGGTATTTCCCCCCACCCCACACCCCCATAC